AGGGAGTGACGGCTTGAAGGAGAACCAGAGAAGCTCGACGATTTTCTCCACTCTTCCTTCCATATTCTTCATGGCTGGATATGGTAGACTGCTCGAGGTGGCATTTTTTATGGCAAACCGTGGCTAACTTCATAATTCTCTAATTCAACAATAATGGCAGGAGTTCGGACATCAAAAGGGAGTTTTAGTTGCTTTAATTTTCTGTCCAATAGTTGTTTAGCAATTCCTAGGTCTTAGGATAGTTATTCTGATTATTGGAAAATTTTTATTGTTTAATCTGATTATATTTGGAGATTATTGTGACTGGATTATTGTTTAGCATTTGACATTGAGTTGTTTATAGCTTTAATTTCAATTATAATGTTGTGGTTATGACATTTGTATTGATTTTGGAGTTAATACATTGTGATTTTCTAAGGTGGCTTGGAATCTTGGATCATATTGTCTCTTGCTAACTTTAATTCTGTTGTTTTGGATTTAAGAGTTCTGACTAAGCATTGGTTTTTAGCATCCTTAATCCCATTTTATTATTCTGGTTGCAGTCAATAAGTTGGGATTTTAGAAAAATATTTTGTGACAATTCGAGGTGGCTCGGTTGTTGGATTAAAAGCTTAATTATAATTCTTAATTCATTGTTTTAACTCTCGTATCTTTTGGAGTGATGATTGCCTGCGTTGTTGAATTAGAGGATTGATTGTTATCATTGTTATTTGTTTGTTTCATTTTCATTTCTTTAATCTTCATTCATTTTAATCATTTTTATATAAAAACAAAACAAAGTATTTTAATTTCAATTTAATTCAAGGTGTTTACTTAGAAATTATCAAATCAAAAATCCTTTTTTATAGTTTAGGTTACTTGCATTTATTTACTAGGATTTAATTTTGTTTTTGGCTCCTCAAAGTGAATACGACCCGGATTGTGCACTATATTACATTAATTCGGTTAATTTTTGGAGTAACCCCAAAGCGACAAATTAAGGGCAATTATTTCAAGGAGGTTATCCTAAATAACCTTTAAAGAACGATGATGAAGAGGAAAATGGGAAGGAGAGAATACTATGAAAGAAAACTTCTAAGAGCAATAATATTTTCGGAAGTTTTTCCTCTTGATAGTTCTCTCCATTCTATTTTTCTCCCCATCCAAACAAAGTTTACATGTGTAATTCTGAGGATTTCTCTCAATTTACACATATTTACTGAAATTTTAAATTGTTTATATCTAAATTTTAGTGATACTACAAATTAATTTATATTTTTGTAAACTAATGAACATGATAACAATAATTAATAATAACAATGACCAAGATCCAAGAAGTGGAAACTGGTGGTTGAGAGCTCAGGATATAAATATGGGGTACTGGGCAGCTTCTATGCTCAATTGTCGGTCAAAGAGTGCAACAATAGTACGGTAGGGAAGTGAAATACTCCTCTGGTCCTTAATATAAAATCTATTTAACTAATGTGGTTAAATAAGGAAGCTAGGTAAGTTAGTTGATTATAAGAAATATGATATGTTTTTCCAAAAACATCATAATCATTTTTCTTAATATCCTTCCTTTCTCACTTACTTGATTATGGTTGGGGGAGTATCTATAGGGATAATTTAGGAAAAATTGATAAATATGAGAAATAAATCTTATATTTAGGAATAAAATTAACTTAACAATTAGGTCCTATATTAAGAATCGAAAAAGTATTAAACAGGAAATCTAAGGGGAGACACACCACAATAGAAATGGAAAGTGGTTATTTCTCCAAGGCAGGTTATGGGAAGGCTGGCTATTTTGAACAACTTTCCACTGTTAATGAGAACAATACTCTGGTCACTCCTGATAACTTTAAGGTTTTTGCTAGCAAACCCACTGACCCTAAACCTGTCATGAATGGTGATGTCTGCTTCTCCTACGGTGGCCCTGGAAGAAACTCAAATTGCCTAATTTAAACATGAGGGACTTTGAAAAGTCTAAATCCATCCATCTATGTCAAGGAAAGAAGGGAGTTCTATTGGCCTGCATGGATTGAACTCCGTAGCCTAATCACTAGTACTATATATAGTTAAGACCTCATCCATGGGATGGATATTATATCCAAGGCCTCGTATATAGGCTCATAGAATAAGATTGGCCGGAGATACAATTTTAATAACGCTATGTATTTAGTGTTTGGTGTGACATTGTATCAGATCATTGTTCGCCGAATAGCTTAACCGCAAGAGGACGGGTCACAAGTAATATAAAAAGTATAGTTCCCTCAGAGACTAAGGCCCGATGAGTTAAAAATCATATATAATTGTGTTTTTGATTAGGTTAGGTGAAGCAAAAGTTGTACTAGAGTTGTGAAATGAGATTAGGAAAAACAAAGATTTAAATCAAAGTGAATTCAACTTGACTTTGAGACAAATAAGGGTCTAGTAGGGTTATTTTTCACTAATATACTTCCTAAAACTTGATTAATCACTTCTCAAATAGTAGTTAACAATAAGTTCAGTTAGCCCAGGGTTCACAGAATTGATTAAACTTTCTCAAGTCAAAACCAAATTTTGCAATCTCAATAAAACATAGCAATTTCTTACATTTGTTTGAAAAGGTTGCACTTTGAAAACCAAAACCTCTTTTTAGGCTATGCTAGATCAATAGATATATCTCTATTTTATCAACAAGCCTTCCATTTAATAAGATAAATTTCCAGTCTAGCACGTTTTTACCAAAGTTCAAAGATTAATTTAATTTTCTCAAGCTTCAACCAATCAACTAATCAATCCAAATGATGGCCCGTCACAAGGAAGCAATAAGCTCAAGGTAAAAACAACAAAACATTATCATTAACACTAAAGAGAGAGTTAAAACAAGTCTTAATTCATATAATAGATCAAAATAACCCTAAGATGACTATTCTAGCTACACATGTTTAGCAAAGAGCCACAACTATAAAGATAGTTCCTAGCCATTACAGAAACAAAGGAGAGGAGAAGAAAACCAAGAAAAAAAATGAGGAAGAAGCTTTCAATCTCTTGTAACTTTGAGCCTAATGTTCCCAAGCTTTAAAACCTCCAAACCCTAGTAGAGCAAGCCTCTAAATGAACCCCAAGGTCGAAGTATATCCAAAAATCACTAGTCCCCCTATGTATATGCCCTGATTTTTAAGTTATAGTGTAAAACGCACAGTTGCGAGGGGTCAGACGTCGTGATGGACCTAGTCATCAGCCTGGCGGATTACACAGAATGGGACTTTGGGTGAAAGGTTGGGCGCTGCGGTGGATATGGTCAGGAGCCATAGCTCCTCACACCGAATAGCATCTTCTTTAGACAGCTTGGGCACCGCAGCGGATGGGGATAGGCGCCGCGGCGGATCACACCGAATGCCTTCAATCTTCTCTATTGGAACCGCCGTGGCAGTTGTCTTCATGCGCTGCGGCAGTTGGTTCCCTTTTTGTTTTTCTGCTTCCGGTCCCTCTTCATTGCTCACTCTAGGTCTTTGGTCTACCCTGATCGCCCAGACTCGGTTGAATCCTTCTCCTTGTAATCATCTTTCAGCTCTTGCACTTTCCTACACAAAGAATAGAAGCCTTGCACCAATAATCTCCCAATGGTTAGCCTAAATCAAAGTTCACTTTGACAAATTATATTTTCTAACTTTAAGAGGAAAATCCTACACAATTAACTTCCAAAATCCATTAAAGAGTGCTAAAACAAGTCAAATTAGTAGGAATTTCAAGAGGTTATCAATCAGGTACAATATAATGTTATATGGTGTTTGACGATGTATGTCGTGTGCTTCAATTTGTCGTGGAAGGGATAAAATGTATTTCTTTTTTGGGGATGACATCACCTTTAGTTTATAAAATTTGACTTTGTTTTAGTTACGGTCTATGAAATGGGAAACTAGTGGTTTTAAGGTTTTAGGCACTTAAAACAATGTTTTAGGAACGTAACTAAAAATCTTTAGATGGATCACAACGGGGTTGAATTTCAGGGGAACTAAAACCAAAACAAGATCTAATTTTATATACTAAAGATGATATTAACCCTTACGTACTCTCTATATAAATACAATACTCCCTATGCTAAAAAAAAGGACATGTTGACGACTTCTTAAAATTAATGAAATTTGTTAAAATTTGTTAAATATAAAATTTTCTTAAACTTCTCAAAATTACCTTGATCAAGTTGAAGTTATTATTTAAGAGTGAAAAGAGTGAATCAGAGAATAACATTTTTTTAAATGAGTGAGAAATGTTTTATTAAATTTTGAAACATTTCTGAAATATAATAGTTGTCGCCACTCAACATTAAAAAAATTGAGAAAATTGTTTAAAAGGATCTGCTCGGCAAATTTATTGTATAAAAGGACCTGAAAATCATTTCAATGATCAATAATATCCTTTAGGGCAGATAGATATGAGGAGGAAATGATGAAATTGTCATTAAATGAAAACACGTACATATAAAATTTCAGAATATGATCACAAGTTTTCCTGAAAACATAGAACTTTTCCAAATAGTGAAACAATGTTTCCAGAAATCATGTTAATAGAAGAAAACTTTAAGAACACTGGAGAAGCATACACACTATTGAAGAAGACTTACATAAAAGACAAGTTGGAAACGCGATTCCTTTAGTGGTCATGGAAGAAAAATACATACAATTGAAGAAACATGCGTAGAGTGAAAGAAAGATTACATAAAGGGGAAGACAGTTTGTTACATACATTGTTATATATCTCATTTTTTTCTTTTACGAAAGCCAACACTATGTATGGTTGCCGCGTGCATGGATATCACAGATTTAAACATTAAAAAGTGTCTTTATTTTGGTTATCGTTGTTAATTACCAGGTTCATTTCCCGGGGAAAATCTTGTCATAAAAAGGACAATCAAATTAAATAACTTCACAATGTACTAGGACAAATCAGCCTATAAATTAGTGTCATCAGGTCTTGTGTATCCCCTTGAGAAATTTGACAAATGGTTCTTGCTTGATATATCTTTGTCACCAACAATGGCGGACAAATTAGGAAACGAAAATACCAGCTGGGTAGAGAAGGTGTTCTTCTTCTTCTTCTTGTTTTTGTTTTCTGTGCGGATGATAATAGCAGATCAAGACACAGTTATCAGTCATAGTCATAAACTTGAGGTTGATAAACTTTTGAAGAAGTTGAATAAACCAGCTGCTAAGTCCATTAAGGTATGTAATTCATCTCCTGGTTTCTCATTCCCGTTATGTTTGAAACAGTGAAGAAAATTATTGGTAAGTTTTAGTATTTATGGTAGTTTATGTCAACAATTTGTTTTTCTTAATCCAGAGTCCTGATGAAGATATTATCGATTGTGTCTCTATTCTAAGTCAGCCAGCTTTTAATCATCCGAAACTAAAAAATCACAAGATTAAGGGGAAACACTTGGCTTGATTGCTTCATATAGATATGTATAACTTTAAACTCCTGATAAAAAAAAAACTCAATCCGATTGACGATTTCATGTTTGAATGAAGATGAGGCCCAATTTTCAACCACAAGATAATATACTTGAAGTGAGTGATGAAATATCTTCAAAATCAAAGCCAATCGTTCAGCTATGGCACCAAAGTGGAAGTTGTCCAGAGGGTACTATTCCGATAAGAAGAACAAGAGAAGAGGACATACTGAGAGCAAGCTCCATGCAACAATTCGGGAAGAAGAATCTCAAGAACGTCGTACTACCCTTAACCCCAAATGTTGGAGGTCAAGGGGGATACGAGGTACGTACTTGTATTGTCCCTACACACACACACAACCCAAAATGAGAGAGGCTTTAGATTTTGTGTTTCGTTTTGCTTTGTTTGATGTATTTTTCTTGTTTCTTTGATGCTTTTGGAGTTTCCAGTATGCCTCAGTATTTATTAAAGGAGATAAATATTATGGAGGCAAGGGAGCCATGAACGTTTGGAATCCTAATGTTGAACAATCCCAAGAATATAGTCTCTCTGCAACTTGGGTTGGAAGTGGTTCTGATCCTGAAAATATCGAAGTTATTGAAGCTGGTTGGCAGGTATTCTTTATATTTTTAAACTGAAGATTGAACAAAAATAATTAAATTAATAATAAGAAAATACTGACATATAAAATAAAACATTTTTTTGGCTTCTCATGCTTTTGTATGCTTGAATATCTGTTGAAGTTATTATGCACTTATCTATCTAGTTAATTGTCGATTTTTGATTTGGATATTTAGGTGAATCCACAGCTATATGGGGATAATCACACCGGGCTTTTCACATTTTGAACTGTGAGTTCAACTTTTCATAACAGCCCTACATGTTTGATTTGTTAGTTCAGATATTTTTCTTAGTCCTTAGAAATTTCTCTCATTTACCTCTGTATATATGACAGAGTGATTCAAGTAAGAACACGGGATGCTATGATCTTCTTTGTTCTGGCTTTGTTCAAGTTTACTCTGCAGTAGCTTTGGGAAGCAGCATCATGCCCTTATCCCTATACAATGACACTAATTCCCAGTATCAAATCACCATTACCATCTGGAAGGTATATCATTTTACATAATGCCAATTATTAATTATTTGTATTAAATAGGAAGCAAGTAATTTTGATATACTCCTCTTGAAAGTCAAGATAAAAAGATACTCCATCCATTCCCAATGTGTATAAGAGCTGGTTGGAGATTGAATTTGATTCTAAATACAAGACCTCAATTTATTTTGTTTCTCATATTTATTATTTTTCTACAAGCTAATTTACTTATAAACTGATATAGTGATATAGTGTTTCACAAGGGTATTTTATGGAGATCATGTCATATTTGCTATAATTAATTAATTAATCCAACTTTCTTAATATACTCAAATCAGTCAAATAACTCGTGTATCAAGGACTAAATGGAATATTATTTTTCCTCAGAATTTTGTAAAATGCCTCACATATTGAAATGTAGAACTTTTCAGAAAGTGCCTTGTATTTGAAACAGAGATAGTAATTAATAATTGTGATAATTAATGAACAGGATAAAGGCGATGTAGACTGGTGGATGCGATATGGCACTGATCAAATTGCGGGATATTGGCCTTCCTCTTTGTTCTCAAGTCTATCAGACAGTGCAACAGTGATAGAGTGAGCAGGTGAAGTAGGAAACTCAGGAACTAATGGACAACACACAACAACACAAATGGGAAGTGGGCATTTTGCAGGGAAAAGCTAGTTATTTCAAGGATATTAAATTTGTTAATGGTAACAACCAAATGGTGACTTCTAATAACGTTGTGTCTTACGCTGACCGTTCCAATTGCTACAATGTACTCCAACCTGGGTATTCAAGGATAATAACGTTGTGTCTTACGCTGACCGTAACAATGAATTCTTATCAATAGAAATAAAAGATTCGTGAAGTCGGTCCTTAAGAATAATTCTTGCTATTTATTAATGTTACTTCCTATCGATCTCATTCTCTATTTCGCTATTGGCCAATTAGGTGCACCCACAACTATATGGGGATAACGCGACCAGACTGTTCACCTACTGGACTGTGAGCTCAAGGTCCTTAGCAATCACACGCGCGCGCACATTCTTGCAATCGTTTTCTTTTTGTCATTTTGATTCTCAATTTTTTTTAATATATGACACTGACAGAGTGATTCATATAAAAGCACCGGATGTTATGACCTTCTTTGTTCTGGGTTTGTTCAACTTGATGCTGGAATAGCTGTGGGAAGTCGCATCACACCATTATCTGTCTATGGTGACGCTAATTCCCAATATGGTATCACCATCATGATCTGGAAGGTACTTTTTAGTGATCAGATTACTTAATTGGGACAGCACTATGATTTTTCAAAGTAATATAACTCAATCTTTTTGGTAAACGTAGCTAAACCACTATTTATTCTTGTAGATCATCAAATCAGCATGTGTGAGATGTCTTGTTTTGTTTGAAAATTGAGATGCAATATGGTGAAGATAAAGTCATGGGATATTGGCCTTCGTCTTTGTTCTCACACTTATCTGATAGTTCAACAGCGATACAGTTGGGAGGTGAAGTAGTAAACTCAGAATCAGAAGGCCAGCACAGCACAACGCAAATGGGAAGTGGCCATTTTCCTTCAGAAGGTCAAGGGAAGGCTGGCTACTTCATCAACATTAAGTATATTAATGGCCAAAACCAACTCTTGCCTGCTGGTAACTTGGTCCCTTACGTTGATCATCCCAATTGCTATGATCTCCGAACTGATCATAATGATGATTGGGGCAACTTCTTCTTTTATGGCGGACCTGGAAGAAACCCTAATTGCCCATGATCGATCCCTTTGTCCTCAATTAATATTATCTTGTATGTTTATATTAGTATGTTATCTTTCCTCCACTACAATTCTAAAATAAGGATGGATGAGAAAACAGACAAATGCATCTTGAATATGTTTTCATTTGAACTTTCTAAAAGCTGAACTTTATAAGAGCTTTGTAACATACTACCTCCGATTCTTAATATAAGACCTCATTTGATTTTTATTTTGGTTCTAAATATAAAACTCCAATCTAATTTGTCTCTCATGTTTATCTATTTTTTCTTAATATAGTCCTTCTAATAATAGTAGTTCTAACTAATAAACTTGATTAGTAAGGATATTTTAAGAAAAACAACACCTATTTATTACGAATAACTAACTTAACTTATTTTCTTAATATATTTCAATTAATCAACTAGCTCTTACAATTAAGATTGGAGGTAGTATATTATTATAAATTTTTCATATTTTTATTTTAAATTAAAAGCTAAGGATAGACACTAACTGCATGATATTATAACTGAGATTAATCCTACAATCTCTCACTTACAAGGGGAGTTATTTGAATTTGCATCTTAAATAGAATAGATATGTCAAAATATAAACGGGTATTCATTTAACTCATCTCAATTAGTTTGGCGAATTGAAAATTGAAACTTGACTCTTTAATTTAGAGGATCAGAATGAGGTAGCCCACCTAAATTACCAAAAAATTTAAAAACTTAAAAAAAAATATATATCTTTAAACATTTAACATTCATTAATTTTTTTCTATTGATATCATTCCTCTTTTTTTTTTTTTTTTGGCTACGCATAAGTATCTTCCTATCGGAGACAATTTCATTTGAAGCATCGTCGGGTACTAAATATCAACACCTCTCCCAATAGGGATTATTTTTGTTACAATAAGGAAAGTTCATTAATCTTTTTATATATTTTATGGTAATGATTAAAAAAGATTTGCTTGACCATTTTAGGCAGCAAGAAGCTCAAGATTTGCTTAAAATTTTTTGCAATTTGAGCGTGTGGCTGCTCATACAGTAGTTTTGATGACGGTGTATGTAGAAAATGAGATTTGATTTGATTTTATGTTTTGAAATTTGTTTACAGGTTTTTTATTTTATTTTGTATATTTACAATATTTTTATAGATTTGATTTGACTTTGTATATTGGAAATTGGATTTCGTATATTATGTTTAATCAGATTCTGATTTTTTTCCTAAAAAAAGAGAAAAGTTAAGCCTTAAATAATAAGCATTAATTTCATCACTTTTTAATTTTATTAGTGCCTGTTAAGTTATACTCCCTCCGGTTCAAAATATAAGCTAAACTTTATCCATTATGTTTCTCAAGAAACTAATTAAAATCAATTTAAAACAATAAATGTGTAAGGCATATATTTGTTTTTCCTAATATACCCTTATTAATGAAGAGAATAAGTAAAAGATGTAATAAATGAATTAAAAAGGAAAGAGAATATATGGGGGTAAAATTGAAAAACAACTCACTAAATGCTTAGACCAAAGTGAATGTTATCTTATAATCCGGTTCAAAATGTTTAAGTTATTCACATTTCTCTATTTGTACTTTGAACATACCTATCTCACTCAATGACAAGTAATGGATATACATGAATCAATACTTAAGCCATTCACTGGACCAAAGGAAACGTATTCACCTTCTATCTGCATGTAAATGGCCTCTTTTATTAGATGATGATCCAACAACAGTAGTTGATTGTTGGCAAAAGGGAAAAAAAACAACAGTAGTTTATTTTAAATGATAAATTATTTTAACATGTAGTAATATTTTCTTGAGTATAAAGGAGATTCATAAAATCATTCTAATTATAGAGATCGAGATATGAGAAATGAACCTTACAATTTATAATCCGTAAATAGTGTGGTAATTTATTATAAATTTTATTACTATATTCATGCATGATAGTATTATACATTGTGTTCATATCATATATAGAATAATTATTACAGGAGGTTCCTGGGGGACAGAGTATGGTCATCCGTACGTAATAAACATGGATTCATATTATTTATGAGCCGTTGGTGAAAGTGTGTGTGTATAAGAACCAACAATTCGCAAGTTTCAAAGAAGTGATCCAACAACACAGACACAGAGAGAGAAGTGAGAGAAAAAAAGGAAGAGCCATGTCTCCATCCTCTTTTTCTCTCTAACTATATTCTTCATTAGGTAATATTAATATACAATAATCAACTTCATCGATCAAAACCACTTTTTTTTTTGGTAAAAAAAAATGAAGTTAATTCTAACAAAAATCAAAGCCGATTGAGCTATGTTCGATCAAAGTAAGTTCTGGAAATTATATATGATAGCCGTACCCCCTTGAACATAAATATATGTCAGAAGCTTTAAACATCAGAATTTTTTTAGAGGAAAAAAATGGATGAGAAAGATCTGATTATTATTTGATTGGTGGTAGGTAAAAAAGGGCACAGAGTAAGCTGGTCAGAAATGGTGGGGAAGGATGCTGACGCGGCAATTAGCGTGATCAATAAAACCAACCCATTGGTGAGTGTGGTTAGGGTCCAGCAAGGCCAACCTGTGTCTCATGACTTCTGCTGCAACCGTGTCTACCTCTTCGTGGGTCCCAACAACAAGGTTGCCTCCCTCCCCCAAGTTGGTTGACCACTTCTTCTTCATAATTATACCAATATGTGTGTTCCCACCAAATAAGTGCAGTCCAGTTCGTGGCTATGCCTCTTCATATATATCACTAATAAGGGAATATTGGCTATTTTGCCTTTCACCTGTACGAAGCATTCCTCTATCTATCAACGAGATATTATATTTGTTATCCTCCTCCCGTTTGTTTGTTTGATCAGCAATACTCGTTTTTTTACTTCTTATTTTTTATTTTAGAAGAGGATCTCGTAGTATACCAACTTCAAAGTATAGCACATGACCTAAGATTATAAACGTATTTCCAGAAATTGTCTGATGTGGCACATTGCATAGCGGTGAACTTCAAAAGGATTGAACGAAAAGGTATTATAGTTTATAGATCATTTAAGTTTGTAATCATCGACCTTGTTCGACAATTTCTATGCCAATGAACCAAAATGCACCTCACGAGAAAATCGATAGTCATGCTTTTCTGCCGCCAGAAGCACGGAGGAAGCTCTACGACAATATGTGAACATTCAGATGTAATCTCAAGGACTTTAACCGGATAGCAATAGAAATACAGTAACTAAATTATCACCATATATCGATCAGTGATAAATAATAATGGGTCGAAATGTATGGAAAAGAGTATATACTACCTTCGGTCCTAATTAGGACCAAAGGTAGAATTAAATGTTGATGACTCCTATCCTACCAGATCAGAGAAGATGAATCAATCCTCCTCGAAATGTCAAGGATTTAAAATTAGGGATGCTTAGACTTTTAGTCACCACTGAAAGTATGGCTTTTTGCGGCAACAATTGAAGTCGCTGCTGAAAGTCGAACTTGTCGACGCTAAAAGTGTAAAAAGTCGCTACTGAAAGTTTGAGTTTTAGCGACGACTTTAAAAAGTCACAACTAAAAGCGTAAGTTTCAGAAAAAGTCACAGCTAAAAGCGTAAGTTTCAATGGCGACAATTGTCGCCACTGAAAGTCAAACTTTGAGAGTCGCCGCTAAAAATGTGAATTTTTACAACTATTTTTTTTCACCAACAAATCTATTTTTTTATTCAAATATAATATTTAACATCTCAAAACATTAAATGTATCATTTTATGATGAAAAAAATAAAATAAGGTAATAATATTTCATTTTCATAGAATTTATGTTTAAATCAATACTTTAATTAAAATGTATTATATATTTACAATTATGTATTATATATACTCTTCTTATTCTTAATATAGGACCTAATTAAAAAGTTGATGTTAGTCATATATGTAAGACTTATTTCATATGTTTATCAATTTTTTTCCAAATTAACCCTATTAATATTCCCTCAACAATGATCAAGTAGGAGAGGGGGCATGGAATTGAAAAAGATGCTTAAGGTGTTTTAGAAAAAACACATCATATTAACTAATTTAACTAATATCCTTAATCTACTCAAATTAGTTAATTAGATCTTACATTAAAGACTGAAGGAGTACATATATAAATTCTTTTATTGGTTTTAGTGTCTACTTAAAAATAATTTTTCTACTAATTTGATAGATATAGTTTAATATGTTGTATGTATGTGTCTATATAAAATACAATTGATGAAATAAACTTTAACAATTTACAAATGATCAAAAGAAAGTGACTTTCAGCTACAACTTCAATTAATGTCGCAGAAAGTCATACTTTCAGTGGCAACTTTTTAAAATCACCGTTGGAAGTATGAGGTTTAGGTGCGACTTTAATTGTCGCCGCTGAAAGTCACACTTTTAGAGTCACCACTTAAAGTGTGACTTTTTACAACTATTTTTTCTCACCAATAAATATAATTTTTTTATTTAAATACAATATTTGACATCTCAAAACATTAAATGTATCATTATTTTATGAAAAAAAATAAAGCAAGGTAATAATAGTCCATTTTCATAATGTAAATTTATAATTAAAAATTTAAAATAATAAAAATTGATAACATAATGTAAATTCTGTTCAATAAATTTTAAAAAAATTAGATAATTAACTATACTTTTAGCGACAACTCAATTTGTTGCCACTGGAACATATCAACGATGGCCGCTACAGCAAATACTTGGTGACGACTTTTTATTGCCGCTAAAAAATTTCAGCGGCAACTAAAGTCAAAATTTTTGCAGTGACTGCGGGTGGCACGATTGCCTTGTGTAAAAAATCAAATTCCAAGCATCTGTGTAGTGATGAACTCGTATCTTTAATGATTCCACAAGGGTCCTTGATGATATTAACTGTTATACTATTGAATTAGACTCAAATATCTCTGATAATTGTTTTATAGTAAAAATTAGGTGTTAAGAGGTGTCATATCTAGTTTTGTAAATGGGCCTAAGTTAGTT